AACGGAATTTCGCTTGGAAAGACACCTTCTGGATGCGACCTCTCTTCCTACAAAATGTGCACATCGAATGAAGATGCTAACAATCAGCAGGTGCAGAATGCCGTTCAGAACAGCGAGAACGACGGAATTCTCCGCATTGTACGGAGTTAAACAATGTGTTACCAGGTTTAGTCGGAGAGAATTTATGTACATCTTGCGAAATTGTCAGATTAGGAGAGAATGTCGTTAGTTCCTGAACGAGACTGGCACGTTGTCGAACTATGTCACAGGCTCTTTCCCAAGTCAAGGTCGTTTCGTCTTCCGATAGCATGCGCGTCAAGAACACTAACAACTAATGCATGTAAAAGACTTGTTTCTTCGAACTGGGCTGGCTTGATCTGGCTATGAGCACAGTCAAGAAGAGCAGTTAGGAATCGGGAAATAAACTCATTTAGAGTTTCGTCCTGCTGCTGCCGCATAGTGTGAAATTTGTAACGTGCTGTAAAAACATGTGACTATTAACTCCAGTGGCGATCAAGAGTGGAAAACAGCTTGTAACTTTTGTTTCGTATGTAGTTGTAGGCTATCGAAATGTCGCTGCCCCTCGTTGCCTAAGAGGTGACGCAGTAATTTGATTTTTGATGCATCATCCATCGTACCGTTACCACCAAAGAGAACAAGTAGATCCACGTAATTAGTGAAGGCAGTTTTCCACTGCAGTCATTGTTGAGTAGTAGATCTTTCCGTGCAAGAATTCCAAAACGACTGAGGTGAGGTAATTGAGTTCTCCATTAGTGATCGCAACTACCTCCGTCGCTAGTTTGTTACGCCAAGACGAAGTCAGAAAACAGAGCTGTGTAGTAGGACGGTTATTCACATAAACGACAAGGACCACTGTACACCAAAAAGGGAGCGCAAGCCATTCGAAGACACAGAGACACATAATCAAGTTACCAATCAATGGTTGCGGCAGACGGCTAATAGTCGTAGTACACACACGAACGCACGCACGCGGTGACCGTCTGGCGACATCAGCTAAACGTGGCGACAGCGATTTCATGTGTTGCCGCAAAGTGGAAGGTAGACCACTACGCGGTTAACTCCAGCCTAATTCAAACACGGTGTTGAAGCACAAAAGAGCAATCATTCTCAATCATCTATTAACAAAGGCAGAATGCCAGTGCACATCGCGCGAACTGGCCAGAACTCGGTTAGATATAATAACGAGCGGACAGAGGCGGTGTAAACCTGGCCCTTTAACGAGATGTCCAAACGACGTCATAAAGTGTACAGAGTGACAAACGCCAGCTAGCCCTTGACGATACAGAAAGGGACCAATAGCACAAGAGTAGAACCAGTAGACACGTAGATTCATGGATAAACAAAGCTACCCACCTGTTCAAATTACGTACCCTCAGAGTGAATGTGGGAACGGGTGCGCCAATCCTACGGCAACACTTTAGACCACGGCGAAGCGAAGTGGATGCCATAACTAGATGTCTCAGTTATCAAACGGTTCATGAGTTGCATATTCTGCGTGTCATCACTCGGCAAGATGACGTTATCAGTAAAATCTAAGTCGGTTGCATGCATACCTGAAAGGAGAATGAACGTTTTTCTCATGCCAGATTTTGGAGAACAATACGGTTAGCTGGCTGATGAGTACTGCGTTGTAAAAATTGAACTGTTACGCAAGAAGACCATCTAAGCAGGTATCCTTGAATTCTGTGTCGAACCCCAAGGCAAGCTCCGCTTCGCTGAGTGGATCAGTGAGACGATCCAAGGAAGATAAGATACTATACTGGGTACATACGGATCTAATTGGGAATCAGTGTTCAGTTCATCAATACAAGCGCCTCTGGAAACTGGTGATCGCAAATAGTTTCGTAGGCACCAGGCCTCATAAGACCGGCCGATTGAATGAGTAGAGAGAGGCTACGAATGGTTCCAGAGAGGGCAGTGGTCTATACTATTGAAAGAAGTTGAGACCACCATGTCTCCGGATCACCGCGCAAGCTTTGTTTGAGGTGCCCATGGACGGAGCGGCGCAGTTCAACGCGATCAAACTCCGCGGTTATGCAGATTAAACGAGATTGGTGCCGCAAAGGGTGCTAAGTAAGATCATAGATTGACTGTCCGAAAGAGAACATCACCTGTGCGAAATTACGGTGTTAGTCTATGCCTTGTGGTGGTTAGCAAGTGATTGTGTCTGCCATGGAAGAATGGGAGCTTAATAGGGAACAGGGAGCGGAATGACTGGTTCGCATCAACCTTACGGTGCCTCGTTTTTTTTGGGATACACAAAACGCACGCAGATGTTCGCACGGACCAGTGCGTGATCCGAGCCAAGAAAGATGGACCTAATCTGTCCGCAGTTGCGTACAACGCCCAACCAAATGAAAGTGATTACGACGGGAACAGTATGAGCATGTGCTTGGGTTCAGGATAGGAGGCACTAGGTAAGCATAAGGTCCGCTTGCATGCCTGAAGTTGGCGTTGGAGAGAAGTGGGTGATCGTCTTCTTCGGATGAGAGAAATCTATCTCCGTAATTTGAGCAGTGCTCAGCAAGCGCACGTGGTTGAGCTTGCGCTGGGCCCAACAAGAACAAGGACAGCGGAGTTGCAAACTCTGCTTAGGAGCTGAATGGAGTAGTTATGGATCGATTTACAGCAGCAGTCAGTTGGGACGTATGCGGAGGTCTTAAACAAGTTACACCTCTTCTCGCAATGCCCGTTGATTTCAAAATATCCCCAAAGCCGAGCTGTAGCAGTCCAATGGTTGCCGAGAACAAGCCTAGCAGTGTGGCTTCGGGTTTGATAGTTAGTAATACACAAATGCCAGCCAAATTGGACGTGGCTGCCTTCGTGTTGCCAGGGAGACGTAGATGAATGATGGTCCCGCAATTGGCCGTGCAACTGGATCTCGGAATCACAGCAAACATCGTTTGCGATAAACCCCAAGGTCGGCTGGTAACCGAAAGGATAACGCGCCAGCGTCGTCATCCGGATGTCACCGGTTCGAATCCGTGTAGGCGCGGGCGACTTCGAAGTAAGCTCAGCCCACGCGTGACTGTTGATGAGCACGTGGCAGCGAAGCATCGGTACGGTGTGTGGAAGTACTGCTGATACTTTTTTGTTAAGGTACGAGCTAGATGAGCCAGCTGCCTAATCTGCACAATTGTCTGTACAATGAAGTGAGCCACACGGAAAGACGATCGAAGCCGAAGGAGAGCTATTGGTTGAGCTAACTGAACATCGGCTAAACCGGCATCGAAAGTAGATTCATAGAAACATGAACCGACGAATAACGGACAACAGTGATTAGTATCCCAGTTGGCGTGTGCTGGGGATGTATGAAAGACGGAAACCGCACACTTCAGCACAGTATAACAGCCGAACAGTCTAGGTTTCCTTCAGACAGTGTAATAGCTATTAACTTCCCAAACCGAAGTAGGGAGTTGTCGTAAGGAATACCACCGAGCGTTTGACTAAATAGCTTACCCGCGAGACAGTGAAGGGAAGTCAAGAAATCCCGTCCAGTGGTAACCGGTGATTGTTTCTCAATTCACGCGACCGTTTTGTTAAATTAAACAAACAGAAACCCAATCATTCCCATGATATTAGTACACGTTTACTGGAATATAATGCTCTGCAGAAGTGATGACATTTCGTTATTTGGATAGACGTGACCAACACGGTCAAGACAGAGAAAATGCCGATCAAGCGCCGCCAACGAGAACGGTAAACGGTCGCGCAATCTGGGGACAAAGTGTAGCTTGGCCCGGACAAAGGTGAAGTGGATTGGCTCAGACAGCTTCGAGCGAGCAGCGCCTGCGTGCCAACAAAGCCACATTAACGACACAGTTCACGGATCAAATGGAGGTGACGGGTAACTAGTAAATGGAAAACGAATTAAGTGATGCCCATAACCGAGCGGATCAGATGGACATTGTAAAATGGGTGCGGCCAAGCATGAGTAAAGTTCAACATCGCCCTAGACATAGTAGGATCAGATCGGTCCAAGCACAGAGGATAAATGGCGTGTGCGGGCCAATAAACTAATTTGACGATTTGAAATAAGGACCGATGGTATTAAATGTGGTAATGGGGAATGGCCAGTGGGAGGCCGTCACAATTAAATACTGCCTCGCATTTTTGTGCAGTAGTAATGGATCTACGCTTCATGAATGTCATATTTTGATCATCGCTCAGACCTTGTATAGGCTCTCGGGAGCCTAATCGACAGCAGCAAATATAATTAGCGGCGAGTTAGGTCCGCCACATCGCAATGTTGCCAGCAAGATAATTATAGCATTTTATGGGGAGAACGCCTAACAGGTGAAAACGCACAACATCCTGGAACAGTGTCGAATAGTCGTTCGTCGAAATATTTCCAAAGCACCCATTAGTTCAGCCAGCCAGTATATGCTAAGAAACCGAATATCTATGGTCACAGTGTTCAAACGATGACAAATGAATTCGTGTCGGATACTTCAATCAAAGCCTGTCAAGAAAGATAACCACAGAGACTCACTGCGACGCAATGACAACCAGTAAGGAAGCCAAGTAAGAAGGATGCAAGAGCCAAGGGTGAAGAAGGTAAGCAAAGCTGAATAAGAAGTATGCTCAAAAGCAAGAACAGGGTCAGAGAATGGAAATAAACTCTAGTGGAAAGGACAGAAAAAGCTGCAAGGAAATAGAGAGACAAAGTAGAAAATGAAGGAATGGTTTTGAGGTTGTCAACCTTTATGTGCTGTATTAGACTAGTAGGGCAAGAAGTGCTCTTAAATAGGGTTAGAGACAGGAAAAAGATCATGCTGAGAAATAACACCACCAAGAAGTGTAACCAAAGCTAAAGATAGTAAAATGCGATCTAAAGGGACGGCGACAAGTGGAGGGCGAAAATAGCCATGGTAATAAAGCGGATATAGCTTTAAGTTGTCGGTTAAAACATTAAACGAAGTTAAGTAGGTGATATTTGCTATTCGCGGGCAGACGCGATGCAATGAACTGATCCTTACTTGGTATGCATCACGAAGAGCAAGCGTAAAAACTGGTTTGGCTTGCGTATCGGAGCTCATGCGTACAGCGTCGTACAAGTACAACCTGCGGGACATGGACACGACGGTGAGGAGACTGAAGGGTGCTAAGTGTTCCAAAGCACGGAACCGATCATCGCGAACGGGGGAGACGGCATGAGCCACCGGCCTCTCCACGAGTTGTAATGTGCTTTCCGATTGTGCCCGAATGTACGAATCGGCAGTGTTGTGGTGACTGTCCTCGAAAGGTGGTATACGCCAGATGGCCAATGAGGAGTCGCGAGAGCACGAAGCCAGATAGGAATCGTCGAGCCAACGCATATCGAAAACCCAGTCTGTGTGAAAGTTCTAAAATATGGAAAGATTGCACATATTTTAAGTCAGCACGATTAATCAACCATAAGAAAGCGATGTTATGAAATGCTGAAAGGTTGAACACATTTTCGTCAAAATCTTACATATTAGAGCGCAACAAATGGCGGGGCCTTAAAATCGGCCGTTGACTTTTCATTGAACATAATTTTTGTTTATCTACTGCGGATATAAATCGCAATGAGGCTGGACCTTACCGTGGTGCGATGGTTTGTTTGTCTCAGCGATCCGTTGAACTATGCTGGGTGGTGCTTTACTTTTGCACCTTCAGAGCCACTCATACCAGATTGGTCAATGGTTAGAGGCCAGACAAACTTAGCCTCCTCCAGGTTGAGGGTTGAAATGAGGTGGCTCTTATTCCTTAAAACGGACTCCTTGTAGCCAAACGCCAAACTCGCTGAATTGCGGTCAGGTTTCTGAACCAAAGGCTTTGGTTGAGAACCCTAATCGTTCTCTTGTCTTGGTTTGGGCAACCTGACAGTATCCTGCCAATGCAATACAATGAATTTCTCTTCAAACAGTTTCTTGATGCTCTGGCCACCGCAGAGGATAATCAACGGTGCCCTAGCTGATGCATCGAGCAAGGTGGATAGGGGTTTGGATGCTACTGTCCAAGCCTTCCCATCATCTTATTGCCCCACTTACGCTTTTTCTTACCGTCCCGTTCCAGCTTCACTTCAATCCCCCCGGTTTTCAACCACCCAATTCTTGGCCCTCCCACCACCATGCTTTGCTAGGCTTTCACCTTGTAGTTTCAACCCACATGTGAACACGGAGCGTCACTCCGCTCCTGTCGACAAACCCATGTCCAACCAAGCGGCGCATTCCAGTTCAACGACTTCCATTTGGAGCCCTCGATCATCCTTCAGATTGGCATGCCTCAATGTAAGCACACTGCTACAAATCGGTCAACAGGCAGCACTTGCCCGAACATTAGAGACCCTCTCGACCGATATCTGCTGCTTATCGGAGACTCGCCTGCAAGACTAGAGCTCTGTACTCACTCTGCGATTCCCTTCAGGTGACACCAGCAGCACTTTCTCACTGCGCCTATCCGGTGACGATACGGCTTCGAGCACCGGCCAAGCAGGTGTTGGTATTGCCCTGAGTCCCCGGGCTGAAGCTGCTCTGGTTGACTGGAACCAAATCAGTAGGCGATTGTGTGCGGTCCGAATGGCTAGCTCCTTCAAAGCTTCGAAGTCGCGCGGGAGTAACAAGTGTCTGTTCGTCATCGCTGAATATGCATCCACAAACTCTAGCGATGATTCGGTAAAAGACGACTTCTATCGTCAAATGAACGAGTTGCTGCGCCACAGATGAAGCTCGGACACTGTTGTGCTGGCTGGGGATCTGAACCCTCGTTGGAAAATTAACCACTGAAGAACTGCATCTGGGCGGACGACAGGGTGTAGGCTCCCGTAATGATAATGGTGTGTGAAGATGCTCGCTTATGTCTTGCGAACACTAGTTTCCGACAAAGCACCCGCCGGAGGGTGACTTGGCGTCCACCAGCCTCGAATTAGCTATGGACGCAAATCGACCACATTGCGATAAGTTACCGATGGAAAAGCTGCGTCCAGAACTGTCGCTCGATTTGGAGCACAGGAATGAACACCGACCATGCACTTGTATGTGCTGACCTGCAGATGCATTTTGGCGGACGCCAACGAAAATACTGTGAGCGCATTGACACCAACCAACTGGCGAGAGCAGCTGTTCTGAATGCCAAACAAAGTACGCCGTCAGCCACAGGACGCCTGCGCCTACAGTGGCACCATGGGTGGCTTGCGCTGCACCACCCACAGCTTCAAGCACACACCTCATATCCAGTGTAAACCCGAAGGAATAAGACCGGGAGGCATGTGGATGGGAGCCACGTTTCATCAACGGAGCCGGCCCACACTCTTTCATAGGCAAACACAAGCACGCTGTATTTGGGGAATCAAGCGCACACAAGACGGTGGCTGGACCGTAGTTCGCTCCACACTGAGTGAATGGAACCACTCTTTGATCCTAACACGGCCACAAGCACCGTGCACCCCGTCCCCTCCAGCTACGACCAACTGTCTCCTAGAGCCAGTATGGACGAGGTAGTGGTTGATAGACAGGTAGGCACCTTGTCAACATGCACATCAAGGGTAACCACACCGGGGATATCAAGCAACAGCCAATCACTTGAGGGAAAGATAACAAAGAAAATAAAGCGAATAATGCATAAAGACACGGTGACATAAATCTTAAATTAAAGCATATGAAATAAGTTGTTTACAAACGAATCCGAGATAAGTTCACGAGGTCGAAAGTATACTTTACGGAAATGACACAAACACGAAAATGTTATCAAAATTAACTACGAGTGGCTTAAGCGACGTGTGCAAGTTTACCGAAGAGAGTATAGGTAGGCATTTATATGAGAAAGAAAAGCATTAGAAAATTGTAAACCCACCACCTAAAATAAATAGACTTGGCATGCAAGCACGCGGTTAGTAAATCGAGTGCAGCGTACCTACAAACGCTGCGCCGGTTCTGCATACGTTCTCTGCAGGACCCATCGTCACTTCGGTAGTGGTCCCGAGTGGCCTCGCTCATGGCTCACTAGGCCTGCCTGACTCAGGCACTCGCGACCACATGTGCTACAGCACCATGCGCTTGATGTCGATGGAGTACAATTCATAGGTGCTTGCCGCTTCCGCACTTGGCGCTTCTTCTCTGCATGTATGAGGTTTTTCTCCCGTAATTCAGCAATTGCCTTCGTGATTAGATCGCGCCATGCACGCTGATCAACTGCCTTCGATTCCCATGACCTGCAATCAAGAGGAGAACACGAGAGACTCACTTTGCTCATGTCCTGGTAATTTAACTTTGGTTTCCCCACGTGCCGCTTCCCAATACTCAGCTGACCGTATAAGAGATGTTTCGGTATCCGCGTTGAATCCATATGCCTCACATGACCGAGCCACCCCAGGTCTCAGCAAACGTATGCAGTCCACTGCATACATTCCACTTCGGCGCAACACTTCACTGTCAGCAACTCCGTCGCCCCAAATGATGCGCAAAATGCGTCGCAAACACTGCTGGTGGAACCGCTCGAGATATCGCACATCCCGCCAGTACATCATCCACGTTTCACTGCCGTATAGAAGAACGGACAGCACCATGGATTTGTACACCATCAGCTTCGTGCCAGTGGTAAGCTGATGATTGTTCCACACTCGGTACTCTAGCTTCCCGAATGCCGCCGTTGAAATCGACATGCGGATACACAGCTCACTGTGTAGCTGCTGATCAGTCGACATCACACTCCCAAGGTAGCAGAAGCGGGAGGTGGTTTCCAATACTTCAGCACCAATGCTGACTTGCGGAAACACTGCAGATTGCACCTCCCATGAAGGCTGAAAGAGACAGACAGTTTTGCGTGTGTTGATGGTGAGCCCGAATTTGGCCGCCGTCGAAGCCAGAGCACTAGTCATGTGCTGCAACTCATCCGCGCTGTGTGAAAACAACGCACAGTCGTCAGCAAACAGCAACATACCGATAGTTGTCTCACAGACTAGAGTTCTCGCACCGAAACGACGGATGTTCAGCAAACCCACCATCAATACGGTGCTCCACACGAACACCGTAAGCACAAGACATCAATAGGTGAAGATATATACTAAACAGGGCAGGAGCTAAGACACAACCTTGCTTCACACCGGAGACAATTGTAAAGTCATCCGAGGTCTCTCCGCTCAGCTGCACCTTCGCCCGCATACCACTGTGCAGACATTCAATTAAACTTGCAAACATACGCAGGCAACCAAACTTACCCAACACCAGCCACAATGCCTCGCGGTTCACCGCACCAAATGCCTTGGTGAAATCAAGAAAAAGTGAGTACACTGGCTAGTGTCGTTACCTACACTTCTTCTTCAACTGACGAGCCGCAAACACCATATCTATAGTGCTGCGACCCGAACGGAATCCACATTGCTCTTCCGCCACGTTAGGTTCCACAATCTGACTGACGAGGCGGTTGAGCAGCGTTCGGGCAGGCACCTTGCCCACACAACTCAGCAAGTTGATGTCACGAGAATTCGTGGCACATTGCTTGCTACCTTTGTCCTTGTATAGTGGTAGCACAAGGGCATTCTTCAGCTCAGCAGGCACCTCATCCTCAATCTATACGCGTTGCACCAAGTAGTGCAAGGCAGTAACCAACGCGGGTCCACCGTGTTTCAATACTTCAGGCGGGATCCTGCCGGCCCCAGCACACTTGCCGTTTCACAGCTGAGCAAGTGCTCTCTGCGTCTCATCCAGTGTCGGCGTGTCCGCCAGACTCGTCTTCACATCGTGCTGCTTCAGGCCGTTCAATATAGGCCAGTCAATCTCTGAACGGTTGTTCAAGAGACAGTCGAAGTGTTTCCGCCAGATCTGCATTATGTCTACAGTCTGTGTGCAGGTAGCGCCTGAACTACTATCAAACAGCGTTCTCAACACCTCCAATCTCGATCCACACACTGCTTTCAAGGAGTCAAAGAATTCCTTGTGTTGGCGGCGTTCGGCGTAGCATTTCATCTACTTCGCCTCCTCTGTCTACCATGCATTTCTTATGCGACGGAGCTCTCGGGTCAGTCGCCGTCGAGGTTTGCGAAACTGAATACTCTTCCCCAAGTCACTGGGGTCTGCCACAGGTGCAGCAAATGCTGCATTCCTCCCCGACACCAATGCGCCAATCGTCGCTTTGTTGTCATCAAACCAATCAGGTCGCTTACAGTTTGCGCGCCCGATGGTCTCCTCGGCAGCAGCTGTCACCTGGTCGCGAATGTGGTGCCACAGATCGCCCATTGTGGCTATGCAGTCCATATTACACAGGCGTGCAGCCATCGCCTTCTCCAGCTCAATACGTTTCGCCTCAGTACCGAAGGAGAGAATGTTAAATTTACGCCGATTCACGGCGGGAGTGCAATACATCGATTTACGAAAATATATGTACG